TCTCCTGCCTCCGCCTCCCAAGTAGCTGGGACCACAGGCGCCCGCCACAATGCCTGGCTATTTTTTGGTTGCAGCCGTCATTGTTGTTTGGCGGGTCCTGGCTGGGGATTTGAACCCGCCACCTTAGGTGTATGTGGCTGGCACCTTAGCCGGTTGAGCTATAGGCACCGAGCCGGGAGAGTAGATGTTGGATGATGAGTGGGTAGATGGATGAGTGGGTTGATGGATGGATGAGCTGATGGATGGGGGGGTAGGTGGGTGGATAGATGGGTGATGAGTGTGTAGATGGGTAGATGAGTGAATGAGTGGATGGATGGGTGAATGAATGGAATGAATGGATAGGTGAGTTGATGGATGAGTGGGTAGGTGGATGGATAGATGGGTGATGAGTGTGTGGATGGGTAGATGAGTAGAAGAATAGATAGGTGAGTGAATGAGCAGATGGATGGGTGAATGAATGGATAGGTGAGTTGATGGATGGGTGGGTAGGTGAGTGGGTCGAATGAATAAATGGGTGGGCAAGTGGATGGACACATGAATGGATGGATTGATGGGTGGATGGATGGATAGGTGGGTCGACAGACAGACAGATAGATGGAGCATGAGAAACTGCATTTGGGAGAACTTGTGTAATTGTGTAATTGTGTAATTGTGTGACGGGAGTTTTGGATGCTCCTGGGAGGCCCAGGTGGGTTCCTGTGCCAGGTGTCAGCTCTTTTTGTACCCTGGCTGCACCATCCTCTGGTCTTCCACACTGTGCCAGGTTCAGGAAATGATCTGATGCACATGTCACAGCACCATTTCTCTCATCTCTACGCTGTTTCAGCTGCAGATTTGCGAGCTCTGCTCTGTATCCAGTGCTGGGTCTTGTGATTCCCAGCCCCTGGGATGGGCTTAGGTGGGGAACAGAGAGCAGGAAGGGGGCCTCGACTGCTGAGGCTGATGCTGTGACAAAGGCTCAGGTGGGGCTCAGGCACAGTTCTGAGCGTCTCGCAGAGGTCACCTCATTTAATCCTCCACACAGCCCTATGAGGAACAGTTTATTATATCCCCACTTTCCAGATGAGGAACTGAGGCACAGAGGTTACTCAGGATTCAACTCCAGTAGTCAAATGTCTCCATGCCTGTCCCTCCTCCCCAGACTCCATGCCAGAGTCCACTGGGCCCCTGAGGACTCTGTACCAGGGCTGGCTGAGCTCCCCAGGTCCTGGAGTCCTTATGGGCTCACCTGTCTTCCCACTCCCCCAGGATGTCACGACCGGGCTGTGCTGCTCTATGAGTATGTGGGCAAGCGGGTTGTGGACCTGCAGCACACCGAGGTCCCTGATGCCTACCGTGGGCGTGGCATCGCCAAGCACCTTGCCAAGGTAGGTGGCTATGTCTGGGAACATGGGGACCAATGCCTCCCAGCCCGAAGAGATAGCAGCCCTAGCTGCTGAATCTGGCCTGCTTCTTAGCCGCAGCTCTTGGGGGTGGTGGTGGCCCCTCTGAGCCTAGGCTTCCTGTTCTGCAGAGCCCTGGCAGAGCTAAGCCTCCAGGGTCCCCACATACCCGCTGTGTAGCAGGAGCTCCACAGTGCGCCTGGTTCTGTCCCAGGACCCAGGGTCTGGCGTGTAATAGGTACTTGGTAAACAGAATAAATGGATGGGTGTTCAAGTGTATTGCCCCACACCCCATTCCTAGCCCTCAGCCTCTTCATCCCCACAGCATCTTAAACCCCAGCTTCCTAGGCAGCAGATTTGGGCCTAATGGGAGAGGATCACAGCTGGAGCAAAGAAGGGCCCTGATTGTCCCCCAGTCACTGCTTCTGGGCTTAGCTGGGCCCCTACTGGCTTCCCCTACCCCTGTGTCCCCTAGGCACTATTCCTGGGCTTAGCTGGGCCCCTGCTGGCCCCCCTCACTTCCCTCAGGCTGGGAGGGTATAGGGCCCTCCTTGGCACTGCCTGGGGCAAGGGGCGTTTCCTACGGGGGCTCTGAGGGGGAAACCCAGGGAGTTACTGACCTGTCCTTGGTGGGAGGGCAATGGGGGGCCTTGGGGGCTGCACTGAAAGCAGTAAGGCCACCTTCTTGGGCTGAGTGGCCATAGGCCCTGCTGACCACTGTCCTCTCTGCCCTGGCTCCTAGGCTGCCCTGGACTTTGTGGTAGAGGAAGATCTGAAGGCCCATCTCACGTGCTGGTACATCCAGAAGTACGTCAAGGAGAACCCCCTGCCACAGTACCTGGAGAGGCTGCAGCCGTGACCTTGGCCATATGCAGGAGTGCTCCCTCCAGACTTTCCCACTCGGCCTTTGCCCAGCCCCACATGCTCTCAGGAACCTGGTCCCTCGGGGAACAGATGCAGAGTTATTTTTGTAAGGAGCCTCATCTGGCCTCACATCCAGGTCACTACAGGCAGCTGGCCAAGGATGGGCAGAAACCTGTTGATCAAGGTGCAGGGGAGGCCAGGCAGTCTCAGTAGCTCCTACTATGCAAGGGCGTCACAGAGACCTTCCACAGGCAGCATGGGGGCCTATGTCAGTCTGGGTCCTTCCTGCTGTTCCCTGCTCAGCAGTCAGCAGGACGGCTGATTTGAGACCCTAACCACCACCTCTCCTGGGCCTGTTGTGTCCTTTTTGCAAATAAGAAGAATGCCCTGGAGCCAAGAGGAGGAATAAGAAACCTCATGTGCCAACATCTGAATGTGACAGTGTCAGGCTGCACCTGCCACGTGTGCTCCCCCTCTCTGTCTCAGACTTCTAGGCCTAGTGGGAGCCACAGGAAAGGGCAGCCTTCCCCAACGGGAGAGCCAAGGAGAGTGGTGGGCATAGCACAGGCTCAGCTGTGCATGTACACACGCACACACACATGAACACACATGTGAACACATGCATATGGGATGTGGCATGTGGCCAGGCTGGTGGAGATATGTGTGGTGGGTGTTCTCTCCTTGGTACTCTAATTTCTGTTGGCCTCTCCTAGATTGCTGTGCAAGACACCGACACCATCCCTCGGGGGCTGCCCTCCCTGCACCTATCTGCCAGGTGCAGCTCTGTGGCTACCCTGGGAACTGCAGGATGAGTGGATGTCTTAGAGCTGGGCTGGGAGGGAGATGGACTGTCCAAAAACTACCCTCGCCACCCAAGAGGAAGAAACATTTTAACTCAGAGGGGTTTCCTTTTCAGCCACTAGATACCAGAGTGGCCTGTTTTGTGGCTGGCCACAGTTAGGCAGGCTCTGCCACCCATTGGGTACTAGGGCTCCTCCCCAGACCAGCCTTCCTGGACACGGCCTGGTCACCAGTCCAGGACATTTTGCTTCTCTGGGACCATCCTGTCTGAGGCCCTGCAGCTTTCTCAGGGGTTGGTTTGGGCTCAGGGTCCCAACTTCTTTTGCCCCATTCCCCAAAGCATCAGATTTGTTCCTGTTCATCTGTGGTGCTAAAGGGTGACCAGGAGTTAGGGGTTCTTTGAAGCTGAGACATTTAACACCAAATCCCTTGGGGATGGTGTGTCCCCTCCAGACCTCTGGGTGGGGGTGGGGGGGGTCTGGGACTGGGCTTTGGGAGGTAGGGAGAAACTGACCAGGACCCCCCCATGTCTTCCTCTGGTGCTGGGGCCAAGGGAGGGGTGCGTGCTAGGGCACTGGTTGTCATGGTGACCCCTCTATCTGACTCCCTGTGGCAGCTGCTGGTGTGGCCTATGGTTTCATTTTCCACTCACCTTCATGCTGCCCCGTCTCTTGGCACGGGAGCCCCATTGCTCTCTCGGCCACATCAGCCCAGGTACCCATCCCAGTTATGGTACACCCAGGTTTTTCCTCTCCCTCCCCCAGGACCATTGAGATCAGCATGTGTGAGGCCTGACAGCATGCCTCTGAGGGGCCCAGAGCCCCCACCGCCATGTTTAGGGCATGGACCAGCAGTGGTGATATCCTGAGCACCCTCTGCAATCCCAGCCCTCACCTCATGTGAGATGCTTCTGCTCCTCCAGGAATTCCTGGGAGCTGAGACCACCCTCCGCAGCTGAGTTTGCCAAAGAAGTCCCTAGGTCTCTAGGAAGACGCAGCTGGCAGGAAGTAGACTCATGCTACCCCTGTCCCCTGCAGGACTAAGGTACCCCATTCCTGGTGAAAGAGCAGGTTGTAGGCCAAAGAGTGGACAGATGGGCCAGGGCCCTCCTCCCTTTCTCCCAAGGAGTCACCCCCTCCCTATCTGCACATCCCTCCCCAAGTTCAATCACAGACTCCATCATGATTCCTGGTAGATCAGTGAGCTGGACTATGGCCCACCACCTTCCCAATCTGCCCATAGGAAGGCCCTGCAGTGGTGGCACTGGGGACTCCCTTGGGAGGCCCCAGAGGTATAGCAGGGACCCTGAGGAACAGAGAGAGCCATGTGGCACCAGGAAGGAGAGGGCCTGTCTCTACTGTACTGTTGCCTCAATCTCACAACCCTGGTGCTAAGCCCTCACAAGTGACTTGCCCACCAGCCAGGCCATAGATCACTCAGTACTTGAACCAGCAGACGTGGGGTATGGAGTCTACAGCCCAGGTTTGCACAGGGCCTGAGCCCTGCAGGTATAACCTGGGCCTCTCTCCTCAGGCTGCCTTAAAGTACCATTCACCTCATTCTAGGGGCCACCAGGCTATGCAGGGCTGGGCTGTGGTCCCTCGAGAGCCTCATGCCTGCAGCAATAACCACATTCCCCAGGCCAGGGGCTCTGGGCCCACCACAAACACCCCTGAAACCCCTAACCCACCCCTCGGCTAGCCTCTGGTGCCACCCCCTGTGCCTGGTGACCCAGTCTTGCCTCTGTGCTATCCTGGGATACTCTAGTCACTTGTGGCCAATACGTCTCAGTAAGACCTGTGCAGGGCACAGCAGAGGAACCCTTGGGTCCCTGCTCCCCTGCAGACCACTTGCTGTCCTGCCAGTCTCATCTGGTGAGCTTCTCTTTCTTGCCTGGCCAAAATAGTTGGTAACTTATGTGCCTTTCCTACTTAGGACCCGTTACAGGTGGTGTCTGGGTCAAGGCTGGTCTCTAGACCAGCTCTTTGTTACTTTCAAACTTGTGAACAGACTGCACATTGTGCTTTCCAATACACGTGAGGCCTGGTGAAGGGACATGCCGTGTGGCCCAGCACTGGCTGCCTGGCTTTGTCCCCCTGCAATTTTGTCTTTAGTTCTGTTTTTAATTGGTGAGGAAGCTGGAGAGCCTCTGAGTCCCTGGGCCTCCCTGAGGAGGGAGTGAGAAGTCAGGCTGGGAGTGGTCTCCCAGGCTGGGATTGGCTCCCTCCTTGGTATCCCCCACTTTTTCTGCGTGTTGGGCTCAGCCTCACTTTTCTTTGAGGATCTGAGGGGTCTGAGCATAGTCCAGGTTTGGTGAGGACTTCTCACAGGGCAGTGATGGTGTCAGGGTCCTAGAGTCTGGGTAACTGCCATCCATGGCTGTTCCTCCCTGCCAGCCCAGGTCTCACACCTTAGTTCCTGCCACCTCCTACAGCCAGGGCTCTGGGGCCTCTCCCTCACCAGAGCAGCTTTGTGGGCCTCTAGAGAACAACCTATGATGACATGCCAGCACCGCTCTTGGCTGTGAGCTCTGTGAAGAGGCAGGGCCAGCCTCATGCTCACATGGACCCATCAGGGGAAGCAGTGGTTGCTGTTCCCAGAATACCAGGTCAGCCTCATCCCATCTCATGCTGGCTACCCAGGGAGGAGTAGACTCCCAAAGGAGCACTTTCCTTCCCGGCTCCCACTTGGGGCTCCACACAGCAACTACTAGCCCTGTTGCACACCTGCCCCACTCAACTGTCAGCACTGCCATGAGACAGGAGTGTTAGGCCTGTTTGACAGATGAGAGCGGGACTGAGGCTCAGTGTGGGACAGTCATAAGCTTGTAGCCATACAGCTTGGGGAGGACTCATACCCTGTCTGCTCTATCCTGTGCCATGAGGTCTGTCTACTTAAGGTGGCAGATGGCCCCAGAAGGCAATAAACAGGCTCAGCGCCTGTGACTCAAGTGGCTAAGGCGCCAGCCACGTACACCTAAGGTGGCGGGTTTGAATCCAGCCCAGGCTGCCAAACAACAATGATGGCTGCAACCAAAAAAAATAGCCAGGCGTTGTGGTAGGTGCCTGTGGTCCCAGCTACTTGGGAGGCGGAGGCAGGAGATTTCGCTTGAGCCCAGAAGTTGGAGGTTGCTGTGAGCTTTGATGCCATAGCACTCTACCCAGGGGGACAGCTTGAGGCTCTGTCTCAAAATAAAAAAAAAAGGCAATAAGATAAGACTCCCAATAATTTCCTTGCTTGTTTAGAAAGCTGAAACGGGGTTCTTCCTTCAGCCAGAAGGTGCTTGGCTGAGCAAGAGCACAGGCTGGGTGGGGAAGGCTGGATTGCACGTGAGGCTGGGAGTGTAAGCAGAAATGTTAGTGTGGCCCCTGACCACATACCCTATTCTTCCTTTCTTCCTCAGTTTAGCATTCTCAGATTTGTTCAAGTCCACCTAAACATCCCTTTGCTATTCTCAGGGTCCCACTCCTTGATTGCTGCCCTAAATTTCACAGAGGAGATCCAGGAGACTGAACTCTGTGCTGACTGCCGCTGCAGGGTCACATTAGGGTGTGCTTTCAGTTGTAAGAGTCATGTCTGCAAGATATTAAAGAGATTCATTTCTGATTGTAAAAACGCTCTCCGGTTTTCTAGCCATGCCTTGAACTGAGTTTATCAATATCTGCTGATACTCCAGTGTGGTCAGAAGCCACCAGCCCACTCCAGAGTCTTTCTAGGTGTCATCCTTGGGATATGACCAAAGGCAGAGCCATTTGGTTTCTCAAGCATTGCCTTCAAATGACAGACTCATCACCCCAACCACTTAAAGTAGATAATACAGCAAGGACTAGTTTTGCCACTGAGCACAGTGAGCTACCCCCAAAATGGGGTCATTACTTTGTATGGGGCAGCAGGGCGGATAACCTACCCCGAGTTTCTGGCTTTGAGGGACTGTTTCCTGGGAAGTCATCCCTGCTCCCAAGAACAAAGCTAGCGGAGAGTTAGGGAAATGGGAACTGCCCATGTGCTTCAAATGGGGGAGGGGGCTTTCCACAGGGGGTTGGTGATAACCATTGTTGGAAGGACGAGAGGAGCCAGCAAGGTCACCCACACGTGTCTCAGGGTCTCTGGGCTGCTGAGGGTCCCCCTGGTGAGGCACCCTGCCTGGACAAGACCTAGGAGTGTGTGCCTGCTGGTCCCCGCTTTTGACACCACCAAAAACATCCCCAAAGCGCTCCTTCCTTCCTTCCAGTCTCCTATGCCTTATACTGTGGAGACAAACTGGAAGCCACTGGCAGGGCCTCTGGCAGTGCTGTCTACAGGCTCCCAGCCTTCTGCAAGATGGAGGAGGGAAGGGATCCTGCAGCCAACAAGCCATGGGGCACCTCACCTGCCAGGGGCACGCTGTAAGGGAATGCTGATCCCAGGTCCTGAGGATGCAGATAAAGCATGAGAGAATGGTGGGCCCGCAGCTAGGCAGACTGAGCATGTTACCCTGGACTGGATCAACAAAAGTGAAACTTCCTTGTCTTGGGAGGAGCTCTTCCAAAGATCAAGACAGACACTAATAGCCATTAAACATGGACTCAGGTGGGAGATCTGGCTGGGGAGATTCAGTAATTTTTTTAGGGAGAAGGTGGAACCCATGAAGTCAAAGAGGGGCCCCTTGAGAGGTTTATTCCTGAAAGTTGTCCCAGTTCAGGAAGAAACTTCACTATGGAACATGTGAGTTGGGGCCTGAAAGGTGAGTGGGCTTTGAGCGGGGAGCAGCCTGCAGGCCCAATGTGATCCAGCCCCCAAGTCTCTGACCTTGCCTCCCTGAGCTCTTCCCCTTCTCACACCAATCACACAGCCTCCCTGTTCTCCCTCAAAGCTGCACAGCCCACTTGCCTCAGGGCCTTTGTACATGCTTTGCCCTCTGCCCAGCCAGAGTCCTCTTCCTCAAATATGCTCACAGCTCCCTTCCTCACCAACTTCAAGTCTCGGCCCAATTCCTGCCTTCCCTCCCTGTTCTCCTTCCACAGTTAAACTGCTGCCCTTCCACTTCCCCTCCCCTTATCTTGCTCTATTTTTTCCAACTATCTATCTCTTCTTGCATAATAATGTAAGCATTTATCTTATTAATTATGCATTATCTCTCCTTCTGGAATACAAGCTCCACACTGGTGGGATTTTGTTTTCTGTTTTCTTTACTGAAGTACCCCAGCATCTAGATCACTGCCTGGCACTTGTTAGTGCTCAGAATCTTTCTTGGATGGACAGATGGGTGAGTGAATGGCTGGGTGGATGGGTGGGCAAATGGATGGATGAACAGGTGGGTGAATGGAAGTGAGGTAAGGTAGTTATGGATCCTTGAGGAACTGAGTGAGGATGGAAGGGAGGCTGGAAGGAGATGAGACTAGACAGGTGGGAGGGGCAGCAGATGGCGAGCGACATGCAGTCAGTTGGTTTCCACTTGTGGGCACAAGGCTGCACCTCCTGCCACCTGGCGGCAGGTAGGACCCGAGATCCCAGGTGACATGGGTTCCCTCCAGACTATGTCTTTCCTGTTCCTTAGTGCTACTGTTGACAGGAGCTTAGGGAGGGTGACTCTACTGGCTACAAAGAACACGGGTTCATGAATCAATACATACAGGACAACCATTTGCCAAGCATGTGCTCTCAACTCAGGCCTGTGATGTGAGTAGGAAACACATCTCTGATGTCGCAGCCTCTCGCTCCGGCCTGTGATGCGAGTGGGAAACATGTCTCTGTGATGTCACAGCCTCTTGCTCCAGCCTGTGATGTGAGTGGAAAACACTTCTCTATGATATTGCAGCCTCTCTGCACCAGTTGTCTCCTTGTTACAGTGGATAGTGTGCTAATACATTGAAGTGCTGTGCTGCCACAGCTCGGGCTGGCTTGGTGGCCAGCCTGCAGAGGACATGGAGGTGGGTACTGCAGGATGGAAAGTGGGGACTTATGTTATACAGGGCCAAAGTGTTTGTTAAACCATAGCCTACAATAGCTCAGAGGGCAGACCAGGGGGAAGGAGGCTAAAGCTTCTAAGGAAAGTGGTGGAATATTAATGTATGTTGGTTGTTCCTCCAACAAGATGTAAGAAAGGTGCATACGGCTCGGCGCCTGTGGCTCAAGTGGCTAAGGCGCCAGCCACATACACCTAAGGTGGCGGGTTCAAATCCAGCCTGGG